GAGCATTTCTTATTCAACATGCAGCACTTCCGCTTTCATCCGCCATCAGCAACTCAGTTCAAAGAATGATACATTACATCACTAAAATTTATTTCAAAACACCTCTGCATGGTGTTTACACAAACAACAGTTCTTTACTAGGCATGGTCGACCTCAGGCCACCCACACTTCAGCATACAGGGTATTATCAATGTTTAACGGCTCAAGGTTAGTCGTCTTGGATGCTCAGAAATAAAAAGGTGAACATTCATTGTCTCTTCCTTAGTTGTCACCATCAATAGATTGTGGACTTCTCAGAGCATGTCTTGATTATGGAGTTGAAACAGCAGTGAGCAAATCATTTATATTTTGATACTATGATTAATTTTAGAGAGTTGCACACTTGAACTTGACACATGCCATTGATAAGTTCATGGCTCTTGCATTCTTCAGTCACATTTAGGACGGCCTCTTAACTATTTAAATACAAAAATAAAAATACTACAAGAATTAGAAGACTATTAGAATTAGTTTGGCATATCAATTTATTTCTCCACCTCGTGGCACCGGAACGAATGGGCGCTGTTCAAAGAGGCGTTGTTATTTTTCAAGGTTTCGATAAAAACAAGTCGACAGATACAGAAACTTCGGAAAAGGCGGAAACGTCACAGGTTTTAAGTGCCAATACCAATACATTGTGGCACTTATTTGCACAGATGTCAAAATCAAACACAAATTTCTTTGCGATGAAGTAATTGCTGGAGAAACGGTTTTCACGGCTCTGATTTTCAAAGAACGCCCATCAAGATGGCTATCTCAACTCAATTCTAATGTTAAGGTGGGACAGTCCCTTTAAGAGGCATATCTGACCCCACAAGGAGTAGTAACCTTTAGGTAACATCTTAGTTCTAAATATAAGAGTGGAAGAAGGAGCCAGTGTGTCTTTCAAGGAAAGGAAACAAAAAGTCACTGAAAATCATCCATGTAATTTTCTCATGGTATCATTTCAAAGCATTCGAGTGAGTATTCCAACCAAAGATGCATTCAAGTGAGTGAGCCATTGACGAGTAAAAAAGTAAAAGAAGAAAATTGAGTGTCAGGTGGATCGTAATAGAAACCAATCGAAACCTGCTAAGAAGGATTCCAATGCATCCATTTTCTTACCAGAGCCTTCGTCGTATTTCTGTGATTTTTCGTTACAAATTTAGGTAGCTAAATGCACATAATTGCTACCTTGTGACATCATGTTCAATATCTGAAGCATTTTCCTAGGAGATAACCATACTCGCCTGGCAGAGCCGTCCTTTCAACAATACGATATCAAACATGCATTATGCTGCTAGGAGCACAACTCATCGTCTACAGACCAGTTTTTGCAATCTGACTCAAATAAGCCAGCCACAGTTTCGTCACATGTCTTTGTTGCTACATGCAATGCTGATAGACCGAAGCCAGCTAGATGCAGCCGTGCTGCAACACTCTGCGCATTTCCATTTGGTATCGAATTCTGTCTCAATCCTGACCCAGTGTGGAATCATTGACCTACCGTCTCAGCGATCTAGCCTTGGCAAAAGATCGCCCGTGCGCTCAATGGTCTTTGGGAGATCTCGGACAACATTAGCTTAATGGTTGTAAAAGACACAAACTAACAGCAACAAGATGTTGCCAGCATGCTCTGTGAATTAATTGTGTTTGAAATCAGAATTGTTTTTGACATTGTATGACAAAAAAGCATTACTAAGGTGTAAATAGTTTATATGGATTCGGGAGTTCATTCTTTCTCTCCGAAGCTTCCTACGTATTATTCAACAAGCGCAGTTATGTTGGAATGGCCGTACCTACGCCTGTTCTGGATTTTTCGGGCTTTTGTTACCCAGGAAATAGCTCAATAGGGTGAATGGTCCTAACCCGAAACCATTCATAGGAAACTTTATACACTAAGTTACAGCCCCTTGTAAGAGGAAAAGGAACTTGCCGTATTTGTCGTGTTTTGCGCCCCATTGAAATGTTTTCATTAAAGTTAGGTTAAAATTAATTCCTTTGTATACATTTTGCAAAACCAGTAGATAGACGCTAGCTAATTCACGGATTTTTTTAACAGTCTATTAACCCTCGCCCCGTTGGGGGGGGGGCATTTTGCCCCCCCCCTGTGGTTTTTCCTGAATAGCAAGAAAACGGCGGCGCAAATTTTCAGCACCTTCCCGGGCATCAATTTGACACCTTCACACCAAATTTCAAGTCTTAGGTCACCTTAGGTCAGGAGTTATTTAGGTCAAGCTGAGGTCATGTTCGAGCAAAAATGAGCAAAAAACATGCAATCTTGAAACGCTCACCAAATCTACAGTTATCAAGCAATTTTAAAGTTCTTTATATGGTCTAGTGGACAAAAAGCGGCGCTACAAAACTGTTATCTCGGATTTTCAAAATTTTCGGTTTTTGACCCAAAAAAACTCAAAAAGTTGATTTTGTTTAGAAAAACTAGAAAAAATCCAAAATTTATCCGAATTTCGAAAAAACCAGAACATATGTGATAGTCTCAGCGCTCTTCTATATACATACCAAATTTCAGATCGATATCTCGTTTTTTGGCTAAGTTATAGCGAAAAAACTGTTCAAAAATGATGACGTCAAATTTTTGAACTCAATTTTTAGCGATTCTAGACCACGTACGGCAAAACAAAGACCACCATTGAACTCCCCGTGACGATCTGCATCGATTCGATACCCATTTTATGCAAGAATATCAAATTTGAAATTTGACCTAATTTGACCTGACCTTGACCTGACCTTGACCTGACCTTGACCTGACCTTGACCAAACCGTGACCTAAGCTGGCCCCAAAGGCTGCTTGACCCACATAATCGCATTTGTCATGTAAAATGGACCATAAAACATGTATCACACGACACTTTCATATTGTGACCCCCCGTGACCTGACCTCTGTGACCTGACCTGGTATCAGTGACCTCAAATAGCAAAATATGTGTTTGAAGGACATTTCCACATCGATGATTTTCAATGAAATGCATTTTACTCGATTTTACAACGCATTTCTTGAAATGCCTGTAAACGGTGAAAATTGGACCTTTGACCTGACCTGTGACGTCATCGGTTTGACCTAAGTCAATAAAATTGGGTCACAAGGTAGTTCCCCGTTGGGGCTATCCAACGCCGTTTACCGCTTGTCGCTATGTTGCGTGGTTCTCGAGATCTTAGGGGGGGGGGCAAAATGCCCCCCCCCCCCAACCGGGCGCGCTGCTCGGCAGAGCCCAACGGGGCGCGGGTTAAACGAGGATCAAAGTTAAGTTTAGTCAAAAATGCGACAAAGGATAACCTGTCGCACTTTGAGGCTGCGTTTCCCAGAAGAGATCCTAATATACGGCCTTGGTAGAGATAACTAGTTGGGAGCAACTTAACCCTCGCGGGCCCGGGGGGGGGGGGCGTTTTTCGCCCCCCCCCCGGCGAATATTTGCGATAACTCACGAACGCTTAGGGATAGGAATGCGAAACTTTCAGTACCTTTTCTCCCATCAATTGGACATCTTCTGAAGTAAAAAATTTGGACCTAGCCCCCTTGATGACGTCACAAGGTCCATTTTTCTAGACCCCTGCACGGCAAACTTCGGCGTCACAGACGCAAACTTCAAATAGCTGCTAAAAATACAGTTTTAGAGATAAAGACAAATTACGAGCACGGCTGTGTAGCGTTTGACCTAGAGAAAAATAGAAAAATAGTTTCGGTGACCTGAGGTCAGAGGTCAGGTCAACGACCCCGAAATGTGGTTTTAGTTTTTCGCAAATAACTTCGACAAAAATGGTCCTAGAGCTACGGCAGTGGTACCATCGCATTCGCCTTGTCAAGCCGCGTCGAATGATATATATTTTGTTCGGAAAAGGTCAAGTTTCATGTTGACCTCATTTGACCTCGAATGACCTCTGGTTGACCTTGACACATGAAAGGTCGTTAATGATGGATTTGTACCCGCTGATCACGAATCTGGCATCTATTTTCTTCTAAGCCTTCATTTAGAGCTTCCGGATGGCAAAATTGTCTTATTTATTATTACTAACTTGAATCAGTGAAATAGCCTCTAGCAGGGATACTCTTCTGTGACCTTGACCTTTGAGCAGCCTTGTATCGTAAGATGAACCACAAATAGGGAACTGATAAGCCTCAAAACATTTCAAAACATCTTGGAAGTTAGCACGCAAGATGTGCGAAAAAGTGCCAAGTTTGAGGTCAATTTTGAGCGTGACCTTGTCCTTGACCTTTGATTTGGAGCACATTTTCAGAATCCTCAGATTCTCTTCTTTCGTTTGACACCCAATTTTGCCGGTTTGATGCAGCCTGCCGTCCTCTAGAATGCTTACTTTGAGATCAGTACACATGTGCCGGTTTTGGCCTTTGACCTTGACCTCTGACCTTGAAAATTGACCTGAGGTCAAAAATTTTGGGTGCATTAGAATCGTCTCGTAAGGACCTTTCGTTTGGTATCGCTTTTGTTTCCGTAGCTCCCTTATTTACGGAGTTAGACAGGGGGGGCGAAAAACGCCCCCCCCCGGGCTGCGGTGGTTGGGATTACCCCCCGGGCCCGGCCGGGTTAAAATTCAATCCAAACTGTTACCCAAATTCATCCCACTCCGAAATATAGCCCCACAGGCTCCCTTGACGTCGTGAGCCTCACACCGAACTCTGTCCGTCACGCTGTACCCGGGCCACGTGCCTCCACTGAGCCCCGGGCTCCTCCAAATTACCGTCCTTGCCACCGGAGCAGCCTCCAGGGCTCGAGCCCGGCTCTGAATCGGCGCCCTGTTTGAGCAATCCACTTTCCCTCGTGCACGTCTGCACTGTCCCAACGCGGCGACACAATGCCCTGGTCCTCCGTCGCGCCAAATTTGCATACCGGGGCGCCAACGTACTCGCGAGCGCGGGCGCGCGCGCGCCCCTAGCCGGATGGCGCCACCGCGGGGCACGCGGCCGCGTCCCGCCAGGTTACCCATTACCGATGCAATGGGGTTAGGAGAGCCGCCGCGTGCTATCGGCGGACGTCCTATAAAAGCGGCGTGGAGACTCGAGACGGCAGAGCTTTAACCAGTCGTCGACGGAAGCAGACTGCCCGCAGCGCAGCTCCGCAGAGCCAGCTTGGTGTGTTGTTGGTGGATTCAGTGAGAAGAAGAACCAGTCATGGTGTCCAGGATGGTGCTCGTTGCGGCGGCAGCTGCCCTAGTGGTGAGTGCATGGGGTGCGAGGGTACAGAGCTACAGGAGTACAGGGGTACTCAGGTACCGGCTCAGCAAACCCGACCGTTGAAGTTCAAAGGGCTTATGAACTTATGGCTGAGAGGTGTTACTTAAAATTTTATTTGGTTTTGGCACTTCACTTTTGCGGGGACTTCAATAAGTATCATAAGTTCTATCATATATTATAATATATTATGCATCATTTATCAACATAATTGCAGGATTGACAGAGTGATTCCCGACACAAGCGCCACCACTGATGCCACAGTAGTCGGTTTCTTGCACAAATATCTCCCATTGCTTGGATAGAAAAACTACCAACAGATAGCAGCGTTTGAAATAATCAACAATGTTGCCTCATCATAAAGCGCCACTTTAGCCTGACCTTATTAGCGTGTGGCCCCAGTGGCCTTTGAGCCGACCTCTGACCCAACCCCTCTCTTCTGTTCCAGTGTCTGGCCTCTCAGGTGGAGGCGGCCCCGAGGGACGCCAAGTTCTTCCTGTTCGACTTCGAGAAGAAGGATAAAGAGACGGGTAACGGAGTGGACTGCGGGCCCGCCTCCGCCGTACCCGGAGACGCCGGATGCGTAGCTACCAACGCTTACTGCAAGTACTTCGGCGGCACCAGATGGGAATGCGTAGCCAAGAAGGCCAATGGCAAGAAGTGTGACAGGCCAGCCATGTGCGAGTCTGGAAAGTAAGTAGAGGGTGAGAAGGATCAAAGAAGAGTGTGTGTGGGGAAGAGGAAGGGGTTGTAGGTTAATGAAAGACTAGGGGTCGGGTAAAGGCTGCTATGTTTCGGAAAGCGAGCGTAGACGAATTTCAGTAAGAGAATAAGACACAGATACGATCATACCTGCTATGGTGTTTTATTTTACAAAAAGGCGCAATATATAAAGAAATACTGAATTTAATTACAACACCACATTAACTTGCAAAGTTTGCCGCCAATAAATTTCATTGACATCGCTAAAAGGTTAAACTGGGCGTTTTCTTTCTCTGCCTTGCAAGTACGTTTTTTTTTGTTCGCCGCAACGGACTACTGAAATGTAACTTTTAATATTTATTGTAAAACTTACACTTGTGTCCTCTCGTTCAACTAGGCTAATCAAACGTCTCTGATTTCAGGTGCCCTTCGATCTGCTACATCTTCGACAGCGACAAGTGCATCCAGAAGTGCGAGGCCTAGTTCCATCTGTCTCGACTCTTCGCGGAAAACATCATTTACATTCCAGTCATGACCTGACCCGAGGTCAAGTCACTGATCACGGGTCATAGGTCATGCTCGCTGGGCTCATTGACCGGCGAGCTATCCCTGAGTGTGATCTGTCAGGGTCACGTTCTAGAGCAATTCATACCAGGGCTTCCATCACGCGGCCAGAATGTGAAGTTCTGGAGCCAACTCACTCTTTGTTGTTGTTGATTGTGAAATATATGTGCTATACAGAGAGAAATACGTTGTTTTTGCCTGTCTGCCACCGCAGTAACCTGGCCTGGAATAGCGATTGAAATAGTGGCAGCGATTTGGTTACGTTGTGAGCTTGTTGGCTTTACCAAGGGTTTATGACGTAGCTTTAGGGGTCCAGATTAAACTGAGAAGGTTAATGAAAATTAACCTATTGCGCATGCCAAGCAAAAAAGCATGGTTTATGGCAAGAAAAAACCGGTTTATTTTTTGAAAATCAATGGGAACGAGCAACAGGTCAATTTTTATCATCCTATAACGAATCTTTTTCACAACGCTCAACTGAACGTTTGAATAGCTTGGAGTTACTTGCCAACTCACTCTTTGTCAGAGTGAGTTAGGTTCTTAGTGCTAACCTGAGTCACTGAGAGTTGGGAATATATTGTAGCTCAACTCAGTTCAAAGTGAATACCAATGCCGTTCGGATATATTTTCACCAAATTCAGGTCAGTGAGGTACAACCTACCAATTCACATTCATGTCACTTACTCAGCTGATATACTTCGCGTTCAGTGGATTTGCTGGTGCTCGTATACTCGGAAAAATGAAGTCATGGTTCATGCAAAAGCAGTAGGTCACCATATTCCAATCGTATGGGTGCAGAGCTTGGTGCATAAGCTCAACAGCGGACAATGCTCATGACTCCTGCAGCTGGCTTCTCTTGACCTGACTGGAACCGTTATCCAACGGGGCCTCGTATTATAAGGCTCCTTTACGAACTCCTCTGAGCTGGGTTTCCAGCGACGCGTAGATCGTGGCCACGTAGCATAGAACGTTGTTTGAAATGACACTGTTTTGACTACAAACATGTTCCATTAGATGATCCTCGTTTGGCCCAAGGTCCCAGTGGATCCTTCAAGACTATCTGGAGACCTAAATACGGAATTTGGGCAGATTCCTCCTAGCCCATTTGAGTTTTTCACTGTGTGAGGATCAGTCGTGGGATATTGGACGAGCGTAGGTCATGCCAGCCGCCGTGCAGGAAATTCTGCTCCGTGGTGAAACACAATGGTGTCCCGAAGCGTTTATTAACCGCAAAATCCGACCGTCGACGGCACAATTAACGACAAACCGTAGCCGTCACTGACGTCACGTCAGTAGAACGTCACTGCGTCAGTTGTTACCATGACAACCGGGCCCGCGAGGCTAACGTCAGCTTTAGCATGGCCACATGTTATACAGAGGCTAACCGGAAACCACGCCACTACCGCCTGAGGGTTACAGTACAGCGCGCATGCGCATACCCGCCCGACCATCCTGGGAGCGACTGAAGCGCCACCTATAACAAACACACCGCGAATGAACCGCCACCTACAACAAAACTGAGACGCGCCAAGTTCGGTGAAGCGCTGATACTTCGCCACGCATAAGCTTCACCGAAACGTAACCAAAGACACACGCGAAACGCTTCCTGCAGCTTCTGGCAAGAAAACGTCTAGAGCTGCGCGACCACGGCGGCTAAGCAGGGAGAGAGAGGCCTGGTGCACTGCGCTCAGCGTCGCCCGCGTTTGGAGGCCTGCTTTATCCCGTCAAAGCAATATCGTTCGATCGAAGTGAAGATTTCGGGCGACCGGGGGTAGGTAGACTAGCCGAGGGCTGAACAGACGAACTGACTTCCAGGTGTTGGGAAAAGACGGGGAGAGACTTACAACCTCTCTACGGGATCTGAAACGAGTGGGACCACGGTTAGCTTTTTTTAATCGCGAACAGTCTGATTGATGGACGATATCGATGGGTGATTATCTTTTAAAATATTTAGCCTCTTTTTCAAAGTATCGGTTCGCTTTCGACACGTCTCATGATTTGGTTGATATTTGTTTCGGTTTTTATATCCCGATTACCGGAATTTTATTGCTATGAATGAGCTATGCCTATGTTATAATTGCTAGGCTACTTTCTGTTAAAGACTAAACGTCCCTTTGGAACTCTGCTATTAGTTATTACTAATTAAGTGTGTATTATATCTTTGTTATGTCTGCTTCAAGAATGCTATTACACATGGACCAGATGTCTGAACGTCTCACCCGGTTTGTCCTACTCCCAAATCGCTAAAACCATTCATAATATAGGTATAACTTTTCTTCGTACAATTTCTGATCAAATGACGTACACAAATGACAAATGATGTACCTACCGTAAAATAACTATCTTAGTTTAGACATGCCAGACCAGATGAGTTCGTCATTGAACCTTGCATGGTCCTTTGATTTGTTAGGACACTGTTAGTCTCAAAACACAGTGTCGCATTCCTAAGCAGGAAGCATATCACAGTTTGGGTACATTCAGAAGTTAGTTAAATTAAACATCATACCGCGAATGCATTCTTACCTCTCATAAAACAAAAGAGTGCAGGATGTTCAGGCAATATCAGAGCTAACAGAGCTCCGTGCTGTTGTGAAAAAGAAATGGAAGAAAGCCATGCGCTGACGTTGTTTATCAGACACATTGGTTAAATTAACTTCAAAATCGTCAGCAGAGCGGGACAAAATGGCGGAGGTTATGGTACATGTATATTTACACTGCTCTGTCTCAAACACGGGACAGCGAAAGCAAACCAGCACTCGTCGACTTATCCAAAAAGCCAGAGTCGCTGCGAGTTCCGCATTGCACCAACGTAACGCCCGGCTGGGCGCTTATTGGATGTTATAACACCAAGCCGAGCGCTCATTGGCTGCTATAACGCCAAGCCGGACGCCTATTGGCTGTTACAGCGGCAAGCCGGACGCCTATTGGCTGTTACAGCGGCAAGCCGAGCGCTTATTGGCTGTTACAGCGGCAAGCAGGGCGGCCATTGGCCGAGAGCGGACGTGATGCCCGTTGATTGGTCATTCCGCCGTACCGACAGACCACATGAGCTTGTTGAAGGAGTAGCTCTGGGCAATCTTGTCCGAGTTGGTGAACATTGAGGGCGGCTGGTTGACGGCCTGGGGACACGGTTGAGATGAGGTCAGGTGAGTTCACCTGACGTCAGCAGGGGTCAGCTGGGGAGGTCAACTGAGGTAGCTTGATGAGGTCAGCAAAGGTCAACTGCCGAAGTCAGCTGAGGTTATCTGATTAAGTCAGCTGAGATCAAACGGTCATCAGAGCTCGATTGAGGTCAGCAAAGGTCAGCTGGTGAGGTCATGAGAGGTCAAATGCTGAGACGATCAGAGGTCACATGAGCATACACGAGATCGCTGTTTCACAAGTTATTTGATATAATAAGAGGAAAGGAGACAGCGAAAGGCAATACATGTTTCTACACGACATAACGCGAAACAGTAAATCTGTTAAATGACAAAGTTCCATCAGCTATAATAAAGGAAAACCAATGAGCTGGCTCAATAATATAGGCTACGCATTTTCCACCTTAAACAAAACAATAGTAAGCACATCTTAATGTCATGATACAGCTAGATGCATTTAAACTACAAAAGGGAACGCTACAAAAGGAGCCTTGACGTCCTCTTCTTTAAGAGGAAAGACGTCAATTCACACGATAAAACATCGAACAACGTCCCAAAGCGATCTGCTTGACTTTCTCGCTTCGCTCCGACTGATCTAACTGGCAACCTAGGTTACCATGTTCAACTGTTCATTGCATGCTTGTTGCCTTCTGGACTATTGAAATGACTTTGAATCAAAGAATATCTTGTAGCATGATGCATAGCTAACTATTTAGCCTACCCAGCTAACCGCTCATTTTTGCTTGCTTAAGTGGGTACATTTTATTAGTAGGTATGTAGGTACACTCGGGGGCAGGTTGATGTTCCACCACTCCCTATCTCTCGGGCTCCCATGGCTCGGCACTGGCTGAGCTGCCAGTGGCAGCACTGGCAGCACTGGTACTGGCAGGCAGTGCTGACCAGTGCTGAGGGCAGGCAACACTGGCAGCAGCCAATGCTGAGCCATGGGAGCCCGGTGGGTAGGGAGTGGTGGAACATCAACCTGCCCCCGAGTGTACCTACCTAATTTTCTCGAAAAACTACACTACGCAAGGTCAAAGGCGGAATTCGTCAACCGATATATCACTACCAATTATTTTGGCACTTATTTACAGGAGATCAAGTCGACAACCTGCATCAATGCAGAATTGCAGACTCATACTGATACGAGCATGTCTCTGCACTATTGAATATGAAACAAGAACAACTGCTACAATTGCCTCGTGGCGTTGCCCTGGTGGCTGCTACACGTACTACCACTTACTGGAGCGTCCGGCAGATCGCGCTGCGGCTGCGGTACGGTCTGTCGGACGGGCCTCTCGCTGGGCGGGGGGAGCTCACGCTTCTGGGCCTGTTCGGGAGGGGGCCAGACGCCCCTCTGCGCCCACAGGGGGTTAGCGGGGCACACGGGGAGGGGGGGGGGACGTGCCCTTTTCCCGACTGCCGTGGCCAGTAAGGATTCTCTAACATTGTTGAGAAGGATGTTGTGAACAAGGATCCTTGTTCACAAGGATCACATAACGTCTCGAGACGTTATGAATTTGAAGCATCCTGATTCTTAGTAAAAGACACCTGAAGGATCATTTTCTAACATGTATATCTAATGATGTGATGAAATTGAAATGCCCTGTTTTTTTTTGTTTTTTTTTTAGAAAAAGCTTAAGTTTCAAATGGTAGCACGAATATTTAACAAAACATTAAATTATAGTATACTAGAAAGGATTTCTGAAGTCGCGAGACACCGTAAAACTTTCGGACGCCGCCGTACAGGTCGCGACCCGTCACCGATCGCAGAATTCCAGGTCGATGACAGAAAGTTCAAAGTTCCCGTGATAAATTCTGTATTGTCGGCGCCGTGGGCGTCAGTGAGGCTGACGTCTGTTTTGTTTCGGACGGCCCGCTCTCGAGGCCGTTGACTTTGGCTCGGGTGCCGAGCCGTGAGCGTCCCCCCACAGGGGGCGGTAGGGGGAGGGGCGGTTTTGGCCGACACTGCCCGGAGGTGAGGTCAAAGTCAGCCATCTGTCACACGGGGGAGAGAGAGAGAGAGAGAGAGAGAGAGAGAGAGAGAGAGAGAGAGAGAGAGAGAGAGAGAGAGAGAGAGAGAGAGAGAGAGAGAGAGAGAGAGAGAGAGAGAGAGAGAGAGAGAGAGAGAGAGAGAGAGAGAGAGAGAGAGGGCCACGGCAGTTGGGCAGAGGAGTTCACAATGGTCGCGTTAGAAAACACAGCACATAGCCAGAGCGATATTAGCGGCAGCAGCGCATGACACAGAGCATATGAGTAAAGCAAAAATAAAAACAGATCCGTGGTTATAAGAAGCAAGTTAGGCAATTAGTCCTAGAGTTAACAGCACATGACTCCATTGTTGTGGATATTACGTAACGTTTTATCAATATTATTTAACCCCTTTGACCTCTGAGAAGTTAGATAGCAAGACTTCGTATGCATGGAGTGGATATAGGACATGCATGCGTGACCTAGTTTTGGGAATGAAACATAATAAGCAATAATACTTTCTAAGAGCGGTGATAAGGTTATTTGGTATTTGGCAAGGAATCTCACTTGGATATTTGAGACTAGTTGAAAGTCGTGACAAGTCAGGTAGCATACACTGCATATTCCGTGATCCATTATTCAACGAAGCGATGCGCCAGCTTTTCCAATTGTTGCGAAAGCCAAATGTAAATTATAAGGTAGTTGCATCAGCAGGGCACTTAGGCACACATTTTACCGTTCCGTAGATCTGCAAGTGTTTAAAATGCAGGTTTAGCATGGTTCTACACTTTGTTTAGGTTATAGTTAGCCAAGATGTGGCGGGCAGCTGTTTCTCCGATGAGTTGAATAACGTTGAACGTAATATGCGGCGTACTCATGGGGATGCCACTGAGAGGTTAGGCAGGTTAAGCTGTGGTGGTGGGAAAGGAACGTCCTAGATATACATGTGCATATTAGATTGGGGGTCGCCACGCCCCATATTCTCGGAAATCGAGATAGGGGTACCCAGCTGGTGTTTTTCAGTGGCATGAGTGAGCTAATTTTTGGACAAATAAGACATATTTTTATCATTAAATGTGTTAGTGATCCCTGGAAATTACGAATGTTTGGAATAGAATATTTGTAATGGGTTGCACTGACCTTTAATTTTTTTCTTCTATTTCTCCCATGCATATTCCGCTTATTACGCCTGACATTCATCCTTCAGAACAACGATTAAATATATTCAAATAGGGTTCAACTTCTAATGATTTGCAAAAAATGTGCCTTGGGGTCTCTAATTACTTTTTCGATTTTAACACAATACTAAAAGCAAATCATGAAGAATTGTGAAGCTTTTAGCACTATAGTTCGTTTTTTCTAAGTTCGACCTTCACTGTAATCGTCTCTTTGAACACAGCACGAGAATTGCTAGCCGAATTACTTAGAAAACAGACTGGTGCACATTGATTTCACAGACGATTAATTTTACTCAAAATTATTTCTTCGTGGCTCTTATTTCCCAGACTCCCAACTCGTATTTGCCCTTATATATAACCCCACAGGGAAAGACAACTTGTCAGAAATTATAATTGAACTAATCAATAAATCGCACGGCGTTTAATAGAAGTGTATATCATCGGTGTTAAAAACTTATTTTGAAAATATTATTCATATCTCCAGTACAATGTGCGCTAACCAGCTTTCTAAGTAATTCAGCTGGCAATTCTCGTGCTTTGTTCAAAAAGATGTTTACAGTGAGGGTCGAACTTAGAATAAACGAACTATAGCATGTTCCGCAAAATCCTCAATTTTCCACGTTTCCCTGTATCGTTCAAAAAGTACCTCTATCCAGGAGGGAAGTAATTATCACCCTCCAACTGGATATCAGCTCAGAAAAACAAGTTGGGCCCTCCGCCGTTGTCAGAAGCCACTGTCAGATTGGGTGTCAGAGCTCAAATTACTTCCTGCCCCGGGACAGCCGCCCACCGCCGCCGCCGCCGCCGCCAACGCCAACGCCGCCCCAGGAAACTCCAACTCAGCTATGGAGTGGTTCAAATAGTGAAAGCTGCGGAGTTTTAGTGGGAATAGCTGCTGGATCCCTACCAAGCAAGCTAAGAAGGCTGGCTTAGCTCGGCTGTGAAGTTGATACAGCCTACAGGTAGCCTTATGAGTCATGGATCCACTCGAAAATCCCGTTGTAGCGGGAAAGCTGCAACAGCTCGACCAAAAAATATATTTCAGAGGAGTACGCTGCTGAATCTCCACCAGGACCAGGGAAGTATCATAACTCAACCAAGGACATATGTATTGAAGCTCCCAGCGAGCGGATAATCAACTAAATTTCATCCACTAGAACTTGACTGCAGCTGCTCAAATAGGCTGGGGACGGGGAGTGGTGACTTTCCAAGCGCCTTTGAGGAGATACTGCGGTTCAACAGGGCAACTACGGTAGCTCAACAGGACGTCAGGACAGCTACGGTGGCTCAAAACTGCGGCGGCTCAACTGGACAGCTGAAATCGCTATACTGGGCAGTGGGCAGCTACGGCAGCTCAACAGGTCAGCTTTGGCAGCTCAAAGCTGCAGCAGCTGCTCAGATGGGCGAGCCGCCGCAGCCAGCCCAGCCCGTATCTGTTATACAGACACCTAGCTGGCACCGCCAGGGGCAAACACACTGTCAGAGGCTAAAAATACCGCAGCTACCGTCGACCCAGACGCCCTGACGTTCCCCTTCCCTGCCCCCTCCCCCCGCCAGGACTGAGGGGAGCGCACAGGCTGCTGGGGGTCCGTACAGGCCCTTGAATTCCGCCACAGATGAGGTAGTTATGGACCGGGCCGGTTGATGCAATTGATTAATTTTGCCGCTGTGGTTTGGGTTGTTGAAATGTGGTCAAATATTGGCCAGAGAGTGGTGGTGTCGTGTTCAATTTGGCGTTAAGCAGCTGCGAGCGAAACTGGGCGGACAGCTGATGAGCGAAATAGCAGATGAAAGTTGATATACTCCAGGCCGGGCCGGATTGCTCCCACTAGATGCCGGCAGCGCTCGTGCGTTGCCTTGGGCCAGAATTGGAGGATCCATAGCCCAATGACTTCATTAAAAACCGACTTTTGTGTCGCTAGAATCATTTATATATTAATCGTCCATCGTTAAGGTGTCAAATACGAATGCACGGCAAACTTCATTGATTAAGATGAGTGATAAGAAAAAGTGATTTCATTATTTGAAGATTACCTCGAAGTGAGGTATTTCTTGCTTGTTTTTACGTCTTTCCATTCTCTATACATAACTTTAAAAATGTACATCAGCTATCGATTATCGACGTTGAATCAGGTATTTGTGCATGACAGCTTGGATATTTATAATGAAAATGCACATGTATTGTAGCATAAAGTTACAGAGCTAGACATCGATCGTGGGGTGGCATGTGCATTGCATGATCTGTTCCTACGTCTTATTTCCCCTGGGATAGTTCATGAATGCTGAATTGGATCGCATTGAAGGATGGGTAGCCTGGTTTATGACAGAGTCCTCGGGGAACGCTGTCACAAAGTTTCTGGCTGTCAGTATCTGAAAGAGACAGTCTTTGTCTCTGCCGGTCTATGATTGTATCTCTGTAAAGATTCACACACATAGACACGTCAGGGGGCACTCAGTGTTACCGAATCCATGTATGTACAGAGCTGCTCCGCCGCCGGTTTGACCTGAGATCCACCAATTGAGGTAAGATCACGTACAGGTCTCGCGGGTTTTAGCGGTAGATTTTGCACCTAGAAAATTTAGTGTACTTCGGGCTATATTTTCGTCGTCTTATGCTTTTCAGTGTTGAAGATGCGATCGACTTGTTGGTTTACAAGCCGGCCATGATCGTGTAAAATGGCTTTATCGTAGATCGATTAGTTTCTGAGATATAACCGGAAATGTTAAAGTGCAAAACCTACCGCTTAATCTCGCGAGAGCCGTACACAGTGGATTCATATGCGCCTAAAAAAGGCGCACACCTTGCATATGGGACAGTAAGATTTAGTAGAAAGATATAATAGAGATCATAAGGGACTGTGGGCTTCTTTTCGATCGAGGGAAATTAATAAGATGGACAAAAATTGATGTTAGACAGAAAAAGGATTAAAACGTAGTGCAATTAAAAAAAAAAACGGGAAGAAAGAGAACAAAGAAGTGGGTGGAAGGAATCGATAATGGATGGAATAAGCGAGACGAGTTAGGAAGGAACATATGTAACGGGACGACAAAGGACAAGCAGAAATAGAATGGAACCAGGCAAGGCGATGCAAGAATGAAAATAGGCAATACAAGAAGGGACAGGCTGGTACATTAGCTAACCATATCCATGATAAACGTCGCATGAATTTGTAAACAATGATACAATTTTCCTGACCGTTGATTGGTGGATCCGGTCAGATCGGCGGCGGACGACAGCACACAGAAAGAGAGCGACAGAGTGATATTACAGAGAGGTGAGAGGGTTAGAAAGTGTAAGACACGCGCCGGTGAGTCGGAGTGAGCTGGCGGCTGCTCGCCATGTAAGAACCACCGAGCAAAACGCGACTACGTTGCTGAGTTGTCAAAAAATGCAAAAGCGATTGTGAGTTGACCACAGAAAAGTGTTGATGCCCGACTGAAGAGAGAGGGGGTGACATTGGTCGTAATGGGGCCATGGCGTTTGCTCTAGAGTTGATATTTTGTACCTTTTTCTTAAACAACTATGCCGTAACGTTTAATCAGCTGGAAACGAAAGCTAACGTCTGAGAAAAAATATTCATTTGTTTCTAAGGTTAAATTAAATCATATAAAGCTCCACAAAACATAACAAGAAACAAAACAAAAATCAAGTACCTGCAGTTCTTCTGAACATAGAGCTTCAAACTTTTGCCTCCCCCGCTTCAAAGGTCAAGTTTGGCACTCGGTAAGCTAAGTTTGAAATCTCTTTTCGCACTAATTACACGCTCATAAGGTTTATTGATTAATACCTTGCTTACCCACTACATAGAAACAACGCCCGTATAAGAGTGCAACTCTCTCGAACTATCGATTTCCAGATAAAGCAAAATTTATTCTCATAACCTCTGCTTTATGTAATAATTGAATGAGGACTTTACTCCACAAGAAATCGTTCGGGTCGGAGCTTTCGAATTGTATTACAAAGCTTCGTCAGCGTATCGTAATCGGGTTCGGGGGTATCGGTCTCAAAATTGAGGGCGATTCGACCCCCGAACCCGAGTACGATACGCTGACGAAATTTTTAATACAATTCGAAAGCTCCGACCCGAACGATTTCTTGTGGAGCATAGTCCTCATTCAATTATTACATTAGCAAACTCCACATCATGTCCTTTAGTGAACCTCTGCTTTATGTAGCTTCTTGTAGTCATCTTAACCCTATTCCTGGCGGGGGGGGCCTCAGGAGCCCCCCCCCTGAGGTTTTTTGGTTATTTCTCCCAAACGCGTTGAGCTAGGAAGCTCAAATTTTCTGACTTTTCCTAAAAGGCTTCTACGCAACATGTCTGTAAATTTTGAGTTGATCTGACCTCAGGTCAGGTCACCAGAGGCGGTTTGGTGACCCTACCTCAGAAAAGTTTGCAATCACGCCAGAGCTAGAGTTTTTGACCGATCAATTTCTTCTCTTCAGGGTTTAGTTAGGATACCAGTATGTGCAATTTGTATATCTCGGAATTTTGATATCGGTGACCTAAGGTCAGGTCAATTTCGCGACCTCCCCATTATAAGTCAATGGGGGAAAAATCAACTCCCTGTTTTTACCACTAAAACGGGTCGGAATGGCCCCATATACCATACATGACTTCATATACGATCAACCTTCACTACCTTGAGGTCTGTTTTGCTGTTGGGCAGCTGTGAGGTCATGTGACGTCATCAAAGGTCACCAAAGGTTTTTGGCCAATAACTCCGTACAGGAACAAGATACAGACGCGTGGATGGTCTCATTGTGTTCAGCTCGTCAAGACGCATCGAATGATATACATGATGACCTCGAGGTCACGTGACCTGAGGTCAACCTTTGACCTTGACCTTTCGAGGTCAACATATATATCATTCGATGCGGATTGACGAGAGGATCACGATGATGCCCTTAGTTTGCTCCTATCTTGACTGATTCGAAAGTTATTCGAGAAAAACTCTCTCCATATCTAGCGCCGCCATTTTGACTTTTTCGACCCCTGTGACGTCATCTTTGACCTGACCTGAAAATGACCTGAGTAAAAATTGTAGATCTTGGCCGTGCGTATCCGATGCCGTTTACCGCTTGTCGCTATCTTGCTTCGTTCTCGAGATCTCAGGGGGGGGGCCGAATCGGCCCCCCGCCAGTTTCTTGTCCCGGCGGAGCCCGCCAGGAATAGGGTTAAAGATTTTATTTCGACAGAAGGAAAGCGCCATGACCCCTGACCTCTATCCCCACTCCTCTCTCCAGTCCTCCCTCCCTCTTTCACAGCAGCCGCAAACACACTCCAACTCACTTGATAGGGTTCTAGCTGGCGGCAGGCGGCGGGAACAGTCGAGGCGGCGGGCGGGCGGTTGGCAGCGGGCGGTAGGTTTTGACTTCGGCGGCGGCGGTTGGGCGGCGGGCGGCGGCGGTGGGCGGTTGTGCCTCTTGGCTCTTAGTAACGATAGGGACGCAGTACCTTGGCCTCGTGAACATCATAGACGACGTGCGACTTGGGCTTGTGCTGCGTAGCAGGTTTCTGCTGGTCCTCCTCCAGGATCATCTTGAGAGTCTCCGAGTTCTGGATGCTGAACTCCTTTCGGGGAGCCCCGCTCACCTGACTGAATATAGGGGGAGGGAGGGGAAGGGGCGGGTGTGAATAAGAAATGGGCTGTGTAGTCTAAGATCAACTAAGCTCATGCTTGTACCTATAATCCTTCAGTTCATTACATGTTTTATTTAATCACCTTGTTCAGCCCAATGGCGCTGTGCAATTCTTTTTTTTCGGTAGAAAATATTGTCGTTAAAATGCGTGTTGTTCGTCGCTACTAACGCTAATTACTTAGAGGCATTGTAGTTCAATATCACGTTATGAAGGCTTCAGTAAAGCCACTCAACTTCTCAAAACTTTACTTAACTTGAGTTAATAACATTTCAAGTGTTATCAAGCATAGCCTTCTTGCATGAAATACAGACGAAGATATGTATTATATAGCAGCATTGCATCAGGCCTGCTTTGGTCACGGTACCTATATAGGAACCGGACGGAAAGGGGACTCTTCCCCATCCCCTGCATTCTGCGTAAGCGGCAAGCTACTGTGTACCTAAGCTTAAATAAATGCGACTCACTTAAACAGCTTTTGTTTGACGCAACAATCTGGGAAACCCCTATAAGGCATTGTTGAAAGGCGTAGCAAATGAGTTAAGTCACTGCAAAGGAAATACCTGTTATTGTTCTATCTAGCATGCGAAAAAGGCTATAGAGCTATTTGACATTCTTTCTGGGCATGAAATAATCATTCAACGCAATATAGGCAAATTTCATGTGTATTCTGCGATGATTTAACCAGTTGCTTCGCATTTAATATTCATCTTTATCTTAATCAGCTTGGCTCTCTGGTTGTTTAGTGATTTAGGAGCTTCGTTCCTGACAATTTACCAATAAGCCATCGTCGTCACTACAGCCCGTCAACATCATCAGATAAACACGAACAGGTAAAAAATAGCATCGGAGACATTTTGAAGACTAGGTAAGATATTTGTTTAGCAAGCTGCATGGTTTCCAGAATGAGAATGTTTGTTTTCTATAGTACAATATCAACTCGTTATAGGAGATGAATGACCACATACATAAACGTTAAGGAGACTGCAATTAATATCTATTGTAGTTTGAGCGTGACATCAGAATATTGCGCCATAAACTACGATAACGTGATTTTTTTTTTAAATGGCATATTAGAGTCACATTTGAAGTCATTCACATATCAAGCATTCATTACCCTTAAATAATAAAACTAACCCAACAAGTCAGACCCAGTTGTAAAGAAAGTTTCAGTTGCTTTGAACATTGTGCTTAGCCACAGCCCAGAACAATCCAAGTGGCAAGCACGTCCCATTTCTGTGACGGGGAGGTTCCCAGCCGACCAACTCACGGGGCAATTCCAGTCTGCTGCTGGATACTGCTGGCCATGTTATCCTGACTGTAGAGATTAGCCGGCGTGTTGAACTGGTGATGAATAATCTGCCGACGAGGTCAAGAGGTTAGTGAGGGGACCGCAAAGGTCAGCCGTTTCGGGGTCATCGGGGTCTGTAGAAGAGCAAATATAACGGACTCAGGAGGAGGGCCAGTAAAGGTTCAAATAAACACGTCATGGAAAGGTTAACATCGGTGTGAAATCACATTGCCCAGTTAAGGTTGTAGGTGTCGTAAAATGCAATGATTCCAAGTTCCAACCGAGAAGTATGAAGGTAGCTCCAACACTTCACATCTAACGACATTTCACTCAATAGATGGCACTAGCGGTATTTGCCTGTGACGTAGGCTGCGCCGCATGGCCGCAAGCATTGCGGCACAGTCTACCAGGCGGCGATTACAATTTGCTCGATAGATGGCGGTATAAGACTACGCCTGCCAGATATGCTGTGCCGGCATACGCTCCCTTGTTGCGAAGCTGAATATGGAATTGGTTGGTGTTATCCTATCATGAATTCAAAATGTTACGCTAAATATGAAGGTTTGAATGTCATTCGCGTAATCGAATCAAAGCTCACATGTCTTTCGATTTGTTTTTCGGATGCATATTTCATGCATCACACAAAGGCTGCTTTTAGAATACTTTGAAATATAGCTTCACTATGGTCCAGATTCAGCAGTCACCATCATTAAATTTTAGATTGAAACGATGCATTACCGAAAGTATTTTAATTCGAAAGCGGAGATTTGGTATTCAACATACCATTCTTACAAACCACATGCCACACGCCGTATTTCATACCACATACCATTGTACCTACCATTCTCGCCTTTGAGAATATTTCTGACCTCTCTCTCTCTCTCTCTCTCTCTCTCTCTCTCTCTCTCTCTCTCTCTCTCTCTCTCTCTCTCTCTCTCTCTCTCTCTCTCTCTCTCTCTCTCTCTCTCTCTCTCTCTCTCTCTCTCTCTCTCTCTCTCTCTCTCTCTCTCTCTCTCTCTCTCTCTCTCTCTCTCTCTCTCTCTCTCTCTCTCTCTCTCTCTCTCTCTCTCTCTCTCTCTCTCTCTCTCTCTCTCTCTCTCTCTCTCTCTCTCTCTCTCTCTCTCTCTCTCTCTCTCTCTCTCTCTCTCTCTCTCTCTCTCTCTCTCTCTCTCTCTCTCTCTCTCTCTCTCTCTCTCTCTCTCTCTCTCTCTCTCTCTCTCTCTCTCTCTCTCTCTCTCTCCTCTCTCTCTCTCTCTCTCTCTCTCTCTCTCTCTCTCTCTCTCTCTCTCTCTCTCTCTCTCTCTCTCTCTCTCTCTCTCTCTCTCTCTCTCTCTCTCTCTCTCTCTCTCTCTCTCTCTCTCTCTCTCTCTCTCTCTCTCTCTCTCTCTCTCTCTCTCTCTCTCTCTCTCTCTCTCTCTCTCTCTCTCTCTCTCTCTCTCTCTCTCTCTCTCTCTCTCTCTCTCTCTCTCTCTCTCTCTCTCTCTCTCTCTCTCTCTCTCTCTCTCTCTCTCTCTCTCTCTCTCTCTCTCTCTCTCTCTCTCTCTCTCTCTCTCTCTCTCTCTCTCTCTCTCTCTCTCTCTCTCTCTCTCTCTCTCTCTCTCTCTCTCTCTCTCTCTCTCTCTCTCTCTCTCTCTCTCTCTCTCTCTCTCTCTCTCTCTCTCTCTCTCTCTCTCTCTCTCTCTCTTACCTTCGGGGTGTGAACACGTCCAGAATCGGGACGATCCTGTGCGGCGGTTCGGACGTTCGTAGCAACCTGTAACGAGCGCACACACAAAGCCAATGCACGCACTGAGAAACTAACATCAGACATACGCTGCCATACCAGTAAGATGTTGAAGTGTGAGAATTTAATATTGTTGTTTATATGTGCTGGTAAGGATTTAGGACTGTTTTCCAGAATGCGAAAAAAAAGTATAAAGCTGTGGAGATGCGGCTTTACAACAGATGAGATGCCGCTCAACAACTGAAACTTAATCTATGCACTTTGCCTAAATTCACAAAAAGGAAGAACGATGCGCCTTAATGAAGTGAGTTCAGCATCCACAAAGTGTGGAGGATTTTGTTTTATACATTGTGGAAAATAATAATGTCGTGTTTTTGTCCCAATTGTAATATTTTGCGATCACAGACACACACAAATCAACTTGTCTCCTTCAGCAACGATAAAAGGGTAGCAACCAACAACAGAACGAGCTAAGCCTCTACCATTGAGGAAGCTGTGCTCGATGAAAAGGTTGGCTTCTACGTCTCAGAAAACTAACTACAATGACAAATGTCGACTACTGTGTTGATTGCTTAAAAGCTTTGAAAACGGGAACCCTTGCTCTGCACGCGCTAAAGAATATCTTACATTCAGTCTAACTAGTTGCATTGTTTTTTGACGGAACGAACAAAGCGACAATCGAAATGTGAACGATATTCTCGTTATCAAAACGCTAGCTGAAAACTGACTACGCATGCAAGACACGCTTTTCTAAAGACTGATAATCTAGCGTTTGGCCATAGCGTGAGGTACTCCTGGTTGTCATGGCTACGAGACCTCCCCTGAAAGAAAGAACATAGAAAGTGTTAACGGAGTGTGCTCTTTTTTAATGCCGCCACGTCTCCGAAGCATCGGCGGTGGTTGAGGCTATGCTTAAAGTTCTATTAGATTTATCGATTTTTATAGCGGGCTCAGAATAATACAATTTGCCTGTTATAAATCACAACAGTTGGTTTCTGGAATAACAAATCCAGTAGATTACTTTCGCTGCAATTCAGGACTTTCTGTTCTTTTGTGTTTGAGTGTTTGTGTTTGCTATGACTGTTGTGGCTGTCTATCAATGTAGCATGTGGCACTGACAAATTTAAAATAAATTGATAACTTCATCGGAAAGGCTTTGCTAAAATTTGGAACTCACATTTTTGACAGAATGATTTTTTGCTGTCTCCAAACAAGCTTCTCATCATCGTATACAAGACTTCCCAATATTTCCTTGTTTTCTAAAAGGCTGCCAGTGGGACAGTGTTAAAGTAATTCATTTTGCTTTTCCCTCCTGTCTTTTAGCCTCTAGCTGTACTCAAGCTCCGACCGTATCGCCACCCTGGGCGCGCTCAGAACATTCTTGGCCCTGACTAGAGATGGGTCTAATATTGGCCGGCCGTCGGACCACCTTGCACCGGTGGCGTCACTCAGTGACGTCAAATGACGTCATCAGGGGGTCTCGCGTTACCACCGACGGCCGTGGAGAGGAACCATCTGGCAGCCGCCGCTAGAAGGGCTGCCAAATGCAGCCGGCCGACAGGCGGGAGAGATTTTTCACGCATAAACTGCGGGCTAGTTTATACAAGAGTAAGACTGACCTAGATATTTAGTGTAACTGACGTCACGATAAGGAACAATCATGGTATGACGCTGATGAATTATGTCTAACGACAGCTTATCTACCGGCAGAGGCATAACAAGCAGAAAAAATGGCTAACGTTGACGGTGGTATGTAAAATGATAGTCATATTTAGATACTGAAATGCCAATGAATTCGTATACGTCTAGCAACCACAACGCAAGAAAAGAACCCGAAGGTCGCTGTAACATTCCAAAGGCATTCGATAATGAAGATGTTACGGTGTGATTGAGCTTTGATATGGCTTGAATGATCGTAAAAATATATCAATACTCGTCAGATTGATCTTCTGATTTACTGAAAAAGATCACAAGAAAGATATGGCCAGTGAAGGAGACATCCAAACTAGGTAACATTTTGCAAAATATCAGAGTGGAAAGGTTTCTGTCGTCAGCAACAGCTCCTTTATCACTGAAAATATATCAAAGTGGGAGATATTCCGGCTTCCCAGATCATTTACGTGCAAAATGCGCATTTGTGACAAGTAAGAGACATGTTCGAGTGAACAACGCAGCGCACGGCTTTATGTAATATGCTATTGGTTCCTGCATTTCCTCGAAAAATGCTAAAACCGGATAGCACGTAAGATCAGGTTTCGAGACCCAATCTCGTTCCCAAAGTCACCAAACCCATCGTCATTACACCGCTCTGCCTACGCTAGACCGCAAACGTCTCGAATTTTTCACATCCACCATCGTTTTCTCCGAATCACTGTTCACCGCACTGACCTGTTCAACAAGCGAACCATCGTGTCGAACCACCTGTTTGAACCGACCACCCACCGTCCTTCCTCGCTACGAACTGACGTTTCCCCGTCCTCTCTCCCCCTCTCTTCCCTCTCTCCGTCTCTCCCCCTCTCGACCTCTCGTTCCGGACCGTCGCGGTCGCGTCGGTATGCGTCGGCCTCTCCATGTCAGGGCGACAGGTCCAAGGTTAGAAGAATCGCGATTGACTGTGTCGCGTCACATTCGTCAGACTTGGATGTCAGCCAACTGGTGGACTTCGGCGAGGGCACGCACGTGACAAAAACAGAACAGGATCGGTCGCCAACTGCTGACGGCGTAAGAAAGATGAACAGCGCAGGTTCAGTCGCTTGTGATTGTATTCGTCACGTGAAATGAGAACTGTCACGCGCGTTTTTTTCATATTGCACGCGGTCTGTGACGATTCAGACACAAGGAGGTTCTGCCAAATGTCACGTGTTTCGTGCGAATGACACCACTATGTGTCACATTATGTGACGCATTAGACGCTAAGTAACGAACTTAACAACTTTTTCTATTTGTTGTCTATGTATAGGACAGGGCCTTTTCTAAGTACGCCTTTTTCATTGCAACGATCCATAATCCGCTTGTTAGCTACGGTTCATGAGACCATACTGGTGTTTTAATCATTATCTTAGCTTTTTATACTTTTTATACCTTTATCTTCACAGACGGTGATGGTTCAGAATAGATACGAAACGATCTCATGCTAAATGCACCATCGTTACTTTAACAAAAACAGCAACGACATAAAAGTAGTCATTCCATGGAACTAGAATGTTGGAAAGAAAGAAAAAGAGCAGTAGGTATTTCATTTTTATGTTGTTTTAATTTCCAATGAATTTGTTCGTCAGAAAACGCTTATTGAACAGTTGCGCGGAACATAATAAAGGCCTCTACACTTTGCAGTTGGAATACAACTATAACAACCATATTGCTTTACTGATACAGTGATACATACATGTAAAATACTGCCAAATGTATGTTAAATACTGCCAATACTCGGAGCATTAATGACCATGTTTTAATGCCAACGATACAACGTTTTTTATTTTGCTTGGCATACGTATGTACTTTCTTTTCTAACACAACCGGAAGCCTGCTGTAATATTAAGTATAGCCATAAAACCCTTTAAGTGTTTGCAGTGATATCAATGGAGGCATTATATCGTATCATCATATCATCATATCGTATATCATATCGTATCATCATAGGCCTCGAATCGTAAAGCTGTCTCTTTACGAGAGCCCGCTACTTTTCCATCCTCTGAGTTTGAGACGGTGCTGCCAACTGACGACGTTGACACGACCAAAAACGCCCCGGGCACTGTGTTACGGCCTAAATCCCGGTGCCGGGATGAAAGTGTGCTCTGATTGTGGTTTTATCTCGTTAAAGCTTAGTGCACCTGCTTATCAACAAAAGTGAGGTCGTCAGTGTAGTGTTCAGCAAGCGTTTCATCCACATAACGCATTTGTGAAGGCAAAAAAGCAACAAAAAAGCAAAGAAAGAAACATATGGATGGCATAGTTATCAGAAACACAGACAATAGAGAAGTAGAGATAATATGCCTCTTTTTTTTGTCAACTTACGTAGCTCAGGAAGTATCAAACATGCAAAGTCATTTCCAGGATGAATCCGATAACATAAATATGAAGAAGACTATAGTCGTGTTGCAATCTCAAAATGTTCAAAGGATCTACTCGCAATTGTGTAAAGTACCGATCGGTAAAAAATAAATGCCAAACATCCACTGCAGTGCTTAGGGCAGTGTCGATTGGTGACGTACCTTTCTAGCGAGCTGTTCGTTAGCCGATCCGAGCATGCTGTTCAGACCGCTGCTGACCTGGGACACGTGAGGAGCCGCTCCCCGCACCTGGCAAAGGTCAAAGGGCAGGTCATACAAGAACCACTTCCTGCGCCAGGGTCAAAGGTCAAAGACAGATCATACAGAGGGTCGCTCCCCAAACCTGAAAAACCAGGGTCAAAGGTCAAAGGGACACGTGAGGAGCCGCTCCCCGCACCTGGAAAATCAGGGTCAAAGGTCAAAGACAGATCACACAGAGGGCCGCTTCCCGCACCTGGAAAATCAGAGTCAACGATCAACGGACAGGTCACACAGGGAGGCGCTCCCCGCACCTTTCAAACGGGGGGTCAAAGGTCAAAGGGCAGGTCACACAAGCAATCGTTCCCCGCACCTGGAAAAGGTCAAAGGACAGGTCATACAAGAACCACTTCCTGCGCCAGGGTCAAAGGTCAAAGACAGATCATACAGAGGGCCGTTCTCCAAACCTGGAAAACCAGGGTAAAGGGGCAGCGGACAGGTCACACAAGCAGCCGCTTCCCGCACCAGGAAATAAGGGGCAAATGTCAAAGAACATGCATGGGTCAAGGCCCATGGGTAAAATGTAAGGTCGCGTAAGAAGATGACCTCTTAGCAGATACACACCAAAAGTCAAAAAGGCAGGGGCTGTTCCTCCAAACATTTTCGTACAAGGAGTAACAACACAACGACTGGTAGGATGTTTTGTGACAATGCGTTGATAACGTATAAATCGAAACAGCTATGCTTTTTTATTAGAAGCGAAGTTAACCGTCCAAATAAAAAACTGGGTTATCATACTGCTTGTCAGAAAAGTGATTGTCTAACGATTACTTGTGCAACTTCACGGGAAGGAAACGAACGGAAAATCGTTCATCAGACCATATGTCTGTCTGTCTGTCTGTCTGTCTGTCTGTCTGTCTGTCTGTCTGTCTGTCTGTCTGTCTGTCTGTCTGTCTGCCTGTCTGTCTGCCTGTCTGTCCCCTCCCTTCCTCCCTCTTCCCTCCCCTCTTACCTGGGGGTCTGGGTGCATGTTGAGATAGGAGGCCACAATCGGGGTGTCACGCTTGACCTTCGCTCCAGGGGTGATCAGGGGGGTTGTCCGGTACGGCTGAAAACGGGAACAGATACACATTGGTTAGTGTGTGAAATTGCGATTTGTGATCATCCTTTGTGCCTGTTAGATGTATACTATCATATATTATAATTACTCGTTGTTTGTCCCATTGGATCTGCTCGTTTTGGTTGCCAATTATAATTTAAGTTTTTTTTTTCGTAGTCATTCGCTGTTTCGTTATTATTGTGCTTGTGGCTAATATGGCTGCTTTTGCATGGCTTTGCTAAAAGGCTGGCTGACTTGATGCATCGTGATTATTCGCCGTAGTTTGAGGGTCATGGGGTTCAACTCTGGTCACAGAAAATAATTTACTCTGACGATCGTCGGAGGACAAAAGGGCGAGTATATTTTGGTCTGAAAACAAGGCGTTAAATAGCTACTCAGCACTCATTTACAATGCAATCAATTGCAAATGTTTTGAAGCAAAGATGTAACACAGATTTTCGTGTAGTGACAGACATGTGTGACAAGCCGTCTGTAAGATGAAAAATTAACAGTCTCGAACGTCTGGCCAGTGAGTTATGCAACCGTGTGAGCCTAGGATACCAGTATAACGCCTTTTGGGGCGACTAACGGAGCGAGCGAGAGGGTGGGCCTTGCACGTGCGAAATTGCGAGGGGGTACCTCCAACTGACTTGTGCACGGCACCCTACTAACCGGTCTCTAGCGATGTGCCAAATTTGGGCACAATCGGCCCAGCCGTTCTCGAGATCTGGAAGCGGCACACTGCACGTGCGCACGTGCAAAATGGGTCCCAACTGACTTGTGCACGGCACCCTACTAACCGGTCCCTAACCGTGTACCAAATTTGAGCGCAATCGGTCCAGCCGTTCCCGAGATCTGGAAACGACCCCTGCACGTGCGCACGTGCAGCAGCACCCCATTTCTGGCACATGTATATGCAGTGCCTAGTGGGTGCCTACCTACATGCCAACTTTCAGCGCAATCGGCCCAGTAGTTACCGAGATATTGCAACAATTACAAAACTGACACCTCTTCGTTTTGCACGTGGCACGTGCATAAGGGGTCACCCACATGCATCGGGAATAGTCCAATACTTGGTAGAAGGAATGAAGCTACCCTACAAAAATTACCCCGTGTAAATCGGTCAAGTGGTTGCTGAGATATAAGCCTCGCAAAAGCGTGACCACGGCCGGCCGGCCGGCCGGCCGGCCGGCCGCTCATACTCAGAAATTTCCGTTAATCTAAGGAAAGACTACGCTCGCTTCGCTCGCTCCGTAATTACTCAAGCTGGCTTGTGTGGGAATGGAATACTGACGAGATATTCCACGGAACATCCCAAACTTACGGGGTCTCGGGTCCCTAACGTAACAGCGCTTCTGCGAATGTTGCGTTCACGTGGTCAAACTAAATTCACCGCTACACCGAGAAGTTTCTAGAGGCTTTGACAGCCCCATTTGGCAGATTAGCTCCAATCAGAATGAGTGGATGTCGTCGGGTTTGGGCGGTAAAGGATGTCCTGGCAAGTAATCAAAGGTGAAACATCGCTAAAATCACAGCGTGTGGCGATGTGTGAAACATGGCTGAAACCGTAAAGCGATTGCGAAACATGAATGAAATATTGGCTCCATGCCATGTGGGAGCATGGTTGAAATATCAGTTCTGGGCCGTTTGTGAAACATGGCTGAAATCGCAGCTCTAAACCACTTTTAGAACACGGCCTATGCTTTAAGTCACGCGTAAAACTTACGTTTAACTTTCATCTATCGCAGCAGCGCCAAATCAGGTGGCGGTTTCTCGTTACACTCTGGTAACGCGATGTGGTCAGACTTGATTTCTGTTCATCTCCGCGAAATCGGGCTCGAATGGCTGCAATAACAGTTCGCGAGATATGGCGTCACGTATTGATGCCGACTGGCCCAGTGCTGACATCCAGACAAATGAACGTTATTTAATGGAAATAAGCCGACCGAAATAGTCACCGACCGGGTGGCTGTACTGGCTACTAATCAGCTTATGCATTTCATGTCTGGCATCATTTTAATCCGAGTGTCACATACCTCGAGGTCACAATTTTTAACAAATTAATATCGACAATGTCCATAACATAAGAAGCCTTGCAGGATTATATTTTTTTATCTATTTTTTATCCATATCTCTTATTTTTTATCCATTTTTTATCCATATCCATATTTTATCTAAGATGAGCTGAGTTGAATAATCATGACACTTGACAGGATTAGCATAAAAAGTACAGACTTTAATTCGAACTGTGCCATAAAAATAAGGCAAGATGTGCGACGGAAAAGCGCGACCCACGTGCGCTTCTACAAATAGATATCCGTCGAGCTCACGTCTCTCGGGCTTTACCACGAATAGATATCCATCGGACCACCCATCAAACGCTTATGATCCACCGCGATCAATTGATCACCTATCATTAGCCCTGAGCCGTCAGCACCAGCTATTAGCACCTTTCAGCACTATGTCAACGCACGTGCCCGCTCTCCCTGAGGAATTAGGTTCGTGCTCCGCTCCATACGGTTAGCATATTTCAGTCTCTCTGGACTGGGGCGGCTCTGTCTCTGAGCTCTGTCTCTGGTGGACCTGCCAAACCGCCTACGTCTTACTGCCTTCGCCTAGCCGCCTACGCCTAACCACCCTCGCCTCTGTAAACCTGACTTAACACCTCTGACAACTTCCACATCTGTGGCAAACCTCTGTCCATCCACTCTCGCTTGTCTTGCTGCCTCTGTCGCCTTCACCTCTGAACGCCTTGTTTCAGTGTCTCAGTGTCTCTGCTGACCACGCCCCCGCCTCTAGTAACCACGCCCTCGCCTATATTAACCCCAACTCCGCCTCTCCTGAACCTAAGTGCTCACCCGTTATGTCTCCGCCCCCGTCCATGCTGACCACGCCTCCGCCTGCGCCTCTAGTAACCACGTCCCCGCCTATATGAACCCCGACTCCGCCTCTCCTGAACCCGCCCCAATCTCTGTTAACCCCGCCTCTGCTGGTCACGCTTCTGTACGCTTTTGGCAGCCTCCGCCTGCACATGACCACCTACGCCTTTGTAAGCCCACCTAACCGCCTCTGGCGTCCCCGCCTCCGGCTGCATCCGGCCTTAGCCTCATCGCCTGAGGCTCAGCCATCGCCGCCGACGCCTTTACACCCCCCTCCAGCCCCCCCCCACCGGAGGCGCTAGTCGGCCGTTCCAGTTTCCAGCCGGCGCGGCCGGACGCTGGAATGCGCCGAATATATATCGTCAGCGCTGCCAAATCCGCACTGAGAGCTGCCAACTGGGCGCTAAAGGCGGCCGGGCGCTCAAACAATAGCAGATGCTAGGTCACACAGAGGCGGTCGACGCAGCGAGGCACGTGATCTGCGTTGGGTTCGGTGAAATGGAGCTGAAAATGGTACGGTGTGAGATGATGTGTGTCAGATTGTTAGCTGGGTCTTATCAAATGACAGCTGTGGGCTTTTGATGCTACGTTTCGGCGTAATCGTAGCATGTCACGTGACAGTGGTATAAATACATGATGCTACATCCTTATCATTTTCTAATAATAGCATGGATTAAAGTGAAGCATTTTGCAAATTTGGTAAATTGTGTTTTATCATGTGATTACCAGCAACAAATGTAAATTTTATGAAACGAACGGACTTTGCACTCAGCCAAGTTCGTAGGGGAAAGTGGGTGTATTGCGCCCTCCTAACCAATTGCGCCCACCAACATTCCCACGGATTCAATGGCATGTTTAGAATTTTGTGTTCGAGAACATGATTTTCACCACCGGATATTTCATTTTATGGCCCAAACTCTCCGATGAAGCCAATCAGCAAGGCCTATTACGCCATTAAAGATGTTATGGCGTTTTCTTAACTTTTTTGCAGTATTTTGAACCGTCGGCTATAAAAATTTGCGATATTTGTCTGATTTTCAGAGTGATATTTAGAAAGAAAAACCCTTTTTTCATTGTATTTCACTGAAACAGTAAACTTCTTTCAACATCTTTATGATAATTTCTACGCTTTTATAAAAAAGTACCTCAATCTTAATTGCGCCCATGGCAATTGCGCCAGGGGGGGGGGGCGCAAATAGAATAATGGTGTAGCTATTATATCACGACAGTATGAATGCATCATTAAATGATTGCAATAAAGAAGGAGTTAAATGTCACGCTAGGGAGCAGCCCGCTGTCGTCAGTCCGCAAATTATTTCTCTCGTCAAACTTATAATGCAGCTGCCATTTAGGCTACGACTTGTGGTGCAATTGACAAAATACGACATTTTCAACATGGACTAAGACGTGAGAAGTGACAGCTATGTCAAAAAAGTAAAAACTGATGTCATAAAGTTGTCGAAACGATAAAGAATTATTAATTTTGAGAGAAACGATTGAAAATTTAACTGTATAGGCGCACACGTTCACATATATCTAGTCGGTTACAGTAAACGTTTTCGTTGCACTTTTACAAGCGTACGGACACATGTAACGTTAACTACCTGGGCCAAAAACATCGCGATTTATATCTACATTTATTATTTATCCAGCCTCAATAACATAATAAATGTTTAAGTAAGCCGCAATGACATTAGACTGCCGGGAAGTATGCATTCCGTCTCATTCACTTAGCCATGTTAAAGTATAGGGCGCAATTGGGTTCTAATTGCGCCATCCCCCTGGCGCAATTTACAGCAGTTGTTGGCAAATGCGCCCTTTTGCATGTTTCTGAAAAACAGCCGTCAGAAGCAAACGAAACATTCTTAATTGATCGGGAGGCTCTTAAATCGTAGCTAATGAGTTCCTCTTTGAAATGGTTACCAGTGCATGCTTACATCTCCAGCGGTTTTCTTTTAATTAGCGCTTTTCCTTAACCTTCGCCCCAGTGGGGGGGGGGGGCATATGTTACCACCCTGTCACGTTTTTTGCGTGTAAATAAAAAACCGCGGCGCGTAGCGCCGCGCCGCTTGGGATAGCTTTTGGTACATCAATTTTGGATAATGTGTGAAATTTTTGACCCCAGGTCAT